TAGGAAATATACACAGCTTGTAGCCACTAGGTGGCTTGGTGGTTAATGCGCTGGAGTCCCACATGGCCAAGGAACCTGGAGGCTTGCTTTCTCATTTCCTCCCCACCCCTTTCCTTCTATAGCAAACTTTTACAATAATAATAATAGGGACCAGCAGACGGTTATGTCGCTGGACTCCCCACGTAGTCGGGGAATTAAGTTAGCTTAAAACTAACGCTGGGTGCGTGTACATGTGAGCACAAGACAGGGAGAGAAAAATGAAGGAGAAGGGTTTGTGGGGTAGCCATACCCCTGTGGGGGGTTGAGGGTGATTTCTCACTTCCTGTCTTTCTGTGTGCTGGACTCCCATAGGGCCAACTGCAGGTCGAGTCCCGGACCTGGTGGCTTGCTTGCTTTCTATAACTAACTAACTCACTCACTCACTCTCTCTCTCACCAAATACAAATTAACTAATTAATAAATTAATTTTAAAGGTTTTTTTTTTTTTTTTTTTTTTTTTTTGGTAAAAAGGTTTTTGCTTTAGGGTTTGTGCGCTCATGGGAGAAACAAAGACAGAAAGCGAGAAATCACTCCCTGGGGCGGGGATGGCCATGCCAGAATTCCTTCTCCGTTCTCCTCTTGAGACTTTGGGCATGCAATGCACACGTGACCAGAGTGAATTTTAAGCCACCAGGTCCGGGATTTGAACTGCAGTCAATCAACTATGTGGGAGTTCAGTGACATAACCGTTATGCCATCTGCTAATCCCAAAAGATAATTCTTAAAAAAATAAAAAGAATGGTATTTACCAGGGAAGGCTCTACTGTCACAACGGGCAAGATGCTTTGCTCAGGCTACTGCAGGCTACTTGACACCTTCCTGCCCCCCACCAAAGTGACAGAAGCGCCCTCCCAGGCATTTTCAAATATTTCTCAAGGTGTGGAATCACTGAACCAAAGAACTGCTGAAATATTAATTATAAATGATGAAATATCTTTTCCCTTAAATATATAGTATGATATAAAGGTCCTCTTAAAAAATCCCCTGAAGGGGGGTGGGGGAGTTTCTCCTGAAAGTACTTTATATTGAATGTTTAAAACAAAAAAATAAAAAGGTGAAGTGGGGTTAAATGTAAAACTCAACACCTGTCTCCCCTTTGGTAATAAAAGGTTCTGCCAATAAGACATATTTATTTTATTTTTTAATAATTTGACCAGAGAGAGTGGGAAAATGAGAGAGCGAGCCACCACATCTGGGATGCAAACAGCAGTCAGCATGTGGAAGGCCAGACCCTTAACCACCCTGTCACCTGCCTGCCAGCCCCAGGGATGGCTTTCTTTCTACAACACTGGAACATGGAAGACAAATTAAAGAAAACGAGGAAGAAAGGGGTGAATCTTTTTTTTTTCTCTTTTTTTGGAGAGGTTTTTGCTATAGGACACTTGTGCTCACCAGAAAGACAGAGAGAGACAGAGAGACAGAAAGCGAGAAATCACCCCCAGGAGGCATGGCCACACCGTAATCCTTTCTCCTCCATTCTCCTCTCGAGATCTTGGGCACGCATGCACACGTGCCCGGCGTGAGTTTTAGGCCACCGGGTCCGGAACACGAACTGTGGTCGACTACATGGGAGTCCAGCGACATAGCCATTGCGCTAACTGCTGGTCCCAGGAAGGGGTGAATCTTGATACAGGCCAAAAGTCAAAAGAACATGAATGTCTACAGAGGCAGAAGGAATGAGCAAAACTAGCCAAGCATGACACTAGAGGCCCAGCAGGAGACTGCAAGGAGGGGGCGTGCAGAGCAAGTACTGGAAGTGGGTTTTTGGTTTTTTTTTTTTTTTTTTTTTTTTGCAGAGCAGACACTGGAAGGGGAGGGCTCCCTGCAGCACCAGCTGTGGCTGTGGTTTTCCAGGGCAAGGTCTGCCAGTCTGTGTTTCTCCCCCACTTAGAGTGAACACATAAGCCCTTGGGCGATTTTGTTACTTTAATGATTAAAAAGTGGGCCAGTTGGGGCCAACAGGTGGGGTATGGTGAATAAGGCACTGGATCCCACATGGCTGACTCCAGGGTTTAAGTCCCATACCCAGTGGCTTAAAAAACACACAGGGCTCTTGTATATGTGCGTGCCCAGGATCCCTAGAGGAGATGGGTGGGGAGAGGGAGGGAGGAAGGAAAAGGGTGTCCTGTGCCTTTATTTCTTTAAAGGACTGAAGGTTCCCCTAAAGACAACAGAGTGTGTCCAGGGAGACTCCCCCGCCTATGTGGACATCATACAGTAGAAGGAATTATGGGGTCAAAAACCAGAATTTCTCCTCTTTAAGGATAAAGCTATTATTTTTCCTTGGCGGACAGAAGACTCCTGACCATTCTGCTCAGTTTAGTCCAGAGAAAAAAGCCTGCAATCAGCCTTCGGGTGTTCTAGTCCAAACCCCTATTTTACTAGGTACCTAAAGGCCAAAAATGGCAAAGCCGCTGACAAGGTCACATAGAGCATCCACCAGGCCAGGGGCACCTGTCAGTACTGAGAGCACTGTTTGCCCGGGAGCTTGCCTGAGTGCCCTGTGCCGTTCAGCCTCCACCGTGTCCCACCCCCCGAGGGCTGTCTACTTCCTTGAGCTCCACCGCCTTCCCACCCCATGTCCCACTCTGGGGTAACAGAAGCACTGGACAATGGGCACTTTTTTCTGAGGCCCATGCAGAGGAAGACACAGATGAACAAACACAGCATTGTGGTCCTGGGGCTTACGTGTCAGAAAAACGGCAGTAACACATGGGAGGAGGGGAGCGAAGGAAACGCCTGGGCTGCCCAAGTGGGTTTGCCTCCAGTGGAGATGTGAGCCTGTCTTTAAAGGGCAGGTGGAAACTCACAAACTGTGTGCACATGTGTGCACATGCGGAGCAGCAAGGCACGGGGAGAAGGCTATTTCTACACAGCGGGACATCTGCTTCCAGGAATTACTGGTAACTGGGAAGACAGTGCTGGCCCGGAAGTTAATTACTGGCTAAGTTAAGGTTTAGGGATTATCTGTGGCCATCATGTTCCTTTCTTAGTCTTCAGTCCTGACAGCTAGGAGATAACTCCAGAGTGACACGGGTAGGCTGTGGCTGGCTTCAAGCCAGACAGGCAGATTTAAGCTGAAACGCAGCTCTCGCTTGCTCTGAGACCTTGAGGAGGCAACCTAAAGTCTTGGATTTTCATTTATTGAAGTGGAGATTGGAACCCTCCCTATGTGTTGTCGTCAGCATAAGGTGAGCACAGAAATGTGTCTAAAGCAGTAGGTGACACATGGCAAATGCTGCCCTGCGGTTACCATCGTCACTGCTACTATATACTTCTTTCAAATTGCAATGATCCCTACCATTTATTTAGAATCCACCATTTTCCACCTATGACTGTCTACAGTAATGACAAATCACAACTAAGTCATTTAACTTTAAACTAAATAAAATTGAAAAACTCCATTCCAGAGGCTAGCAGGAGGTCGGGTGATTAAGGTGCTGGATCCCCACATAGTCAACTCATGGTTCAAGTCCCAGGTAAGTCTGCTTAAAAAACACACTGAGGGGAACCAGCAGTTGGCGTAATGGCTATGTCACTGGACTCCCACTTGGTCGACCGCGGTTCGCGTCCCGGACCTGGTGGCTTAAAACTCACGCCAGGCATGTGTGCGTGCGTGCCCAACATCCCGAGAGGAGAATGGAGAAGGGATTGCGGCGTGACCATCCCCTCTGGGGGGTGATTTCTCGCTTTCTGTCTCTATGTCTCTCTCTGTCTGTCTGGCAAGCGCGCACGCCCTATAGCGAAAACCTCTCCAAAAAAAAGAAAAAAAAAAAAATACACTGAGCACATGTGTAGGAATGCACACCCAAAAACCTCAGGAGGAGAATAGAAAAGGGATTGTGATGAGATCATTCCCCGGGTGGTGATTCCTCACTTTCCCTCTCCTGTGTCTGTGTCTCTCCAATAAGCACATGTACCCTATGACCAAAACAGAAGCAGGAGAAACTCTTTTTTTTTTTTTTAAAAAAAGGGAACAGCAGTTAGAATAATGGCTACATTGTTGGATTATCATGTAGTCAGCCGTGGTTTAAGTCCCAGACCCAGTGGCTTAAACACACGCATACATGTGCATATGTGCCTAAGATCCTGAGAGGAGAATGGAGGAGAGATTGCAACATGCGCATCCCCCCTGGGGAGTGATTTCTCGCTTTCTGGTGAGTGCACACGCCCTATAACAAAACCCTCTCAAAAACAAAACAAAACAAAACAAAGAAAAAACTCAGGTCCTCTATCATAGTTGAAACTCCCGAGTGCTCAAGAGCCACACATGGCTGCTATCCGGGACAGCACAGGTCTAAAACATTTTTGTGCATGTTCCTTGCTTCACATAAGATTGCATGACTGGGGCCAGCAGGTGGTATGGTGGTTAAGGACGCGGGACTCCAACATGGCTGATCACAGTTCGAGTCCCGGACCTGGCGGCTTGCTTTCTCACCTTCTGTCTCTCTCTCTCTTTCTTACTCACTCTGTTCCTCAAACTAAAATAAATAAACAAGTAAATAAAGTTAAGTAAAATAATTCTTTCAAAAAAGATTGCATGGCTATTCTACTTTATAGAGCCTATCCACCCAATAAACTTTGCATTCCTTTTTAACTTGTACTGTTCATGTTGCTTAGCTCAATTCATCTTCTCAACGACCCTGTGACCTTCACAGCAGTCATAGCGCCATCCCCATTTCAGCGGATTTAAAGACTAGGCACCGAGGTTAACGTGCTCAGTCCACAGCAAAAGCAGAGCTGGCACTGCAGTATATAATTTTGAGAGTAGAAATAGATTCATGCTCAGAAACACACACCTCTCCCAGTCCTGGGTATTTAACCATTCCAAGGTCTCTTCCTGTGAAAGCGACAATCTTATTCTATACAACTCGCGAGCTCTGGGCTTGCCCGTACTCAGTACTGCACACAATGGGTGCTGCCTCCCTAGAACCACTGCTGATCAGTGAGTCCTCTAAAATCCTTCTCATTCTTTGTAATGAGAAGAATATCTAGCCTAGGGCCAGCCAGTGGTATGGTGGTAAACGTGGCTGGGTCCCTCACGGTCAACTGGAAAGCTTCAGTCCTGGACCCAACCACTTGAAAAACACACAAGGTGTGTGCGTGCATTCCCACCATCCCAAGAAGAGATTGGGAGAAGGGATTATGGCATGGTCATGCCCCATTAAGGGGTGATTTCTCAGATTCCCTCTCTTTCTCTCTGCCTCTCTCTGGCAAGCGAACATGGCCTATAGCAAATACTAAACAATAAAACAAACAAACAAAAAATAACAATAACAAATACATATATGTATAGTCTGTAGCAGACAAATATAAAACTAGGGAATATCCAAGACGGTAAATTTTCCACATCTACTGACTATCCTGGCTGCCCAGGAAGAGTGAGGTCTAGAAAGGATTCCAGATGCCCGGGGTCTGTGCTCCATGAGAAGGAATCGTGACCAATTACCGAAGCCGACCTCAGGAAACGCCTCTTACCACAGACCTCAAACCTCATTTAACAGATGAGAAAACTGAGACTAGAACAGAGCGTGCCTCGTCCAGCCCCCACCTCCAGACAGAGCTCAGAAATGGAACCCCTGACATGGCCCAGGATGCGGGAAATCTTCAGACTATGTGTGATGGGGAGGAGGGAGACGGTCCTGAAAGTGTGCAAAATTTAATCCATGCATAAATCCCAGACTCTAAAGAACAATATGCTCAGATCATCTGGGTCACTGCTCTGACCCCAACACAGACCTAGAAACCCAGTGGAAATTTTTACACAAGCCCATTCTGAGCCGCCCTTTCTGCCCTATGCAAATGACAGCCACTCTGGGCGGCTCGCTACATTGCTCAGTAAGCCTGGTTTCTTTTTCTTTTTAATGGGACTTGTGGATGTGTCCTGTGGCGAGTGGCCATTGGAAGAATGCGGAGGGCTGGGGAACTTTCTTTTCTGGGCTGTTCTTTCTGCAGAGCCAGGATCTGAAAGAGACACACAGGATCACACATTTTAAAGCAGTCAAGGAGGCCTAGGCCCCATGAGGAAGGGCTGTGGGAAGCGGGGTATTTTGTCCTCAAACTCCCAATGCCATTTCAGTGTTCCTCCTACTAAGAACATAGCTGGCCCCCTTTGCTGTCTGTCTTCCTATATAATGATTTTATAAAATGTGAATTCACTGACAAAATATTAAAAATCAGGAGATTTCACATAATATAGATGGTGGGGGCAGGTGGCATGGTGGTTAAGGCATTGAACTCCCACATGGCTGACTACGGTTGGAGTCCCAGACCTAGCAGCTTGCGTTCCCACTTTCCCTTTGTCTTTTTATGGTCAAAATAAAAGATAATGATAATAAATAAATGAAATCAAGTAAATATTTTTTTTTAAAAAAATATCAGGGCCTGCAGGCTCTCATGGCACCAAGGGAACTGAATAACAGCCCCCTATTTTTAGATGGGAAGGTGCTGCTATCCTGCCTCAACCGCCACCATTCCCTACTATCACTCTTGATGAGGCCATGATCAAGCTGCCAAGGGTTGTCACAAGACATTGATGTTGTTGTCCCAAAGAAATATTTCTTCTCCACACCTATGCCTGATAGCAAAAGCAGGAAATTATGAGACACAGGCCAAGAAGGCCACAAATTTTTTGGACAAGCCAATGGCATTAATTCATGTTGATTAGGCTAATGAAGAGTAAATATGTGAAGAAGGAACACACCCCGCCCACCCCCACCGGGAAGTCCTCAGGACATCCTGTGTGAAACCCTCCTGGGGGAGATCAACACAAATTACATTCTCACCTGAAAAATGCCAACCCAACTCCTTGTTTTCCTCCTCCCAGCATCTCACGTAAGCACACGTGCATTTTACAACAGTCACCCCACTTCACCTGCAAGAACTCCAATCTGCTCCATGCCCGATGGTGGTCTTGTTGACTTAGGGACGACTTAAGGCTCAGCGTGGTAGGCCCACATCCTAAGGAAGGAAAGCTACATGCCCAGAAGAGGAGAGCGCTATGCCGGCAGCACAGGGGGGTGGGATGGGATAGAGACCCGGAAAGATGACTATCCCCACAGATATTTCTCCTCCTCCAGGTTCACCACTCGGCTAGCCCCAGGACACAGGCAGCGTGGGGCTACACCGTCACCCCTTTCTGCAGAGGAGTCAGAGATGACAGACTGACAGGGTCCCCAGGCAGACTCTCCTGGGCTCTGCTTTTCATTGGAAGGCCAAGAACCTTCCAGCCGACTCACAAAAGGAACATCTCAAATGGATCTCTCAAAACCCAGTCCACAGGATGCAACTCGCCAGCACCACCGGGCAGGCTTCAGGGCGGCAGGCTTCAGGGCGCTACACAGCACCTGGCCTTGAGGATAAATTACAGCCTAACCACAGCACTGAGCATCGAGGGTGAACAGACAGAACCCAGAGTCCAGGGACCACACCCCAGACAGCCCCACGGGAGCACAGAGTCCACTGGGTTGGCCCGGAGGCTCACAACAGCTAGTTAGTGAGGAAGCTTGGGGCAGACTGGGCGTGGCACGTTCCCCCAGAGAAAACCTCCCCTCATTCCCAGAAGGGTCCTCACCCCAACCAAGCCCACCACCACATATGAAAACTGTCACTTTCTCCACATAGCCTCTGACCACACAATCTCCTAGACACAGACTAGACACACAGTCACGGGCAGCAAAGTGCATGCACAGCGACTCAGCTGCAGCACAGCGACTCTGCGGCACAGCGACTCAGCTGCAGCACAGCGACTCAGCTGCGGCACAGAGGGTTGTACCTGAGGATAGGAATGTCTTAACCATCCACAGAGGAGGCTGGTCCCCCAAAACACTGCAGCCTTGATACAGGGCATGCTACAGCTGGGGCCAGCTGGTGGCATGCAGATAAGGCAGCTGGATCCCACGGGGCCAAATAAGCAGTTCCAGTCCCAGACTCAGTGGATTGAAAACCATACTAAGCATGTGTACATGCATGGCCAAGATCCCAAGAGGAGACTGGAGAAGAGGGGATGACATCCTCTCTGGGGGATTTTTTTTCTCTCTCTCTGGCGAGTACATGTACTGCACAGCAAATTACCACAATAATAGTAATAAAGGGGTCTTCAGGTGGCATAGTGGTTAAGGTGCTGGATTCCCATATGGCTGACCATGGTTTGAGTCCTAGACCCGGAGGCTTGCTTTCTCGCTTCTCTCTCTCATCTCTCTCTGGTGAGCATACATGCCTATAGCAAATTAAAAATGATAATAAATATTTTTTAAAAATAGTAATAATGAGGGGACCAGCAGGTGGCATGGTGGTTAAGGCGCTGGACACTCCCACATGGCCAACCACAGTTCAAGTCCTGGACCTAGTGGCTTGCTTTCTCACTTTCTCTCTCTTTCTCTCTCTCTGTCTCTCACTCTCTGGTCAAATTAAAATAAGTTAAATAAAATAATTTCTCTTTAAAAAAATAGTAATAATGAAAAAAGGGGGGCAACTATTCCACAGCCAGTAATAACCATGCAACACCTATACACAAGTCACTGAATGGTGATCGCAAAGCTTTGAGTCAAGTTAAAAACCAGTGTGTGTCTGGCACCATTAGTGTTCAAATGTACACCTCAAAAAAAAAAAAAACATGCAGTATATACATCAACGTTTGCATGAGCCTAAACATTCCTGGATGAACACGAAAGTATCACAGAGCCCTACGTGGGGGCTCAGAAGCAGAGCCATCAGGGAGTGAGGGGAAGGATGATTTTTCACTATGTACCCTCGTATACTGTATTTATCATGTGCCTGGAGGATTTGTCGAAAGAAAGAAAATTTGAAACTGAGCATTTAGAAGCTTCGGGCTCACAAAATAAAGCAGCGGGTGCGATTCGAAGTCAGCCATGAGCAAATGAGGCAAACCTGACTCCGGATGTTTAAGGATCACCAACTAGGTAAGGTTGGGACTAGATCAGAGAGCTTGGGACTGGGGAGGGGCTGGGGGTTGCTCTGTGTGGGTTTAATAAACCCCAATAACACCGCTTGGGTGCCGTAGACTATGGGTGTTTCTGAAAGGCTCAAAGGCAATGTGTCCTGGAAGAAATGGCATTCTGGCCAGGCAAAAGCTAGAGGTTTGGGTTCTGCATGTTTTTCAAGTGTGTAGGTAAATTTTACAAGGAGTACCTGAGCAAAGCCTTGCTAACAGGAAAATGAGAGGCACGTCGGGGGGTGGTGGGGTGGACAAGTGGTGTGTTCAATGCTTCTCAACAGAGCAAGGAGCAAGGAAAAAGATCGGATTAAGAACAGCTCTAGCTCACCGTCAAGACAATGCTGGCCCTCTCCCACTCTCCCACTAATTTCATTAGTATCCCCTAAACACCGAAACCATGAAAGGCATGCCCACAAAATCCCAAACACTCTCGGGAAAGGGGGGAAGGCAGCCAGCAGGTGGCATAGTGGTTAAGGCACTGAACTCTCACTTGATAGACTGCGGTTCGAGTCCAGGATCTGAAGGCTTGAAATTTACACTGGGCGCAGGTGTCGGCATGCCCAAAATCCTGAGAGATGAATGAAAAAGGGATTGCAACATGGGTACCCTGGGGCGCGGGGCAGTGATTTCCCACTTTCTCTCTGTGTCTCTGTCTTTCCAGGGAGCACACATGCCTTGTAGCAAAAAATCTCTCTTTAAAAAATTAAAAAAGGAAAAATGGGTACTATGTTCCTGAAAAACCACTGAGGCCGTGCCTGTGGATCGATGGTGATACAAGTGCCCTGCAAAGGTGGAAGCCACATGGCAATAATGGGTATAGATCCCCAGGTCAGCCTAAAAACACGCAGGGCACACGTGTGGGCTCCCCCGATTGTGACCAGCCCCTGGGGAAGAGGCTTTTCTTCCTCCATATCTCTCTCCCTCTAAGAGCAACAACAAAAAGCCCACTGATTGGGGGGTGGGGCACATAGTGGTCCCAGGCAGTGCTCAGTCAATCCTTGGAACAGAAATGGCACCACCTCCTCCCTGGGCATGCAGCGGCTGAGATCTCCAGGGACTATGGTCCCCAAAGTGTGATCTCATACTGCAGCAGCAGCATCTCCTAGGAATTTGCTAGAAATGAAAACTCTCAGGCCACACCCCAGATCTAAAGAATCAGACAGTAGGGGTTAGGGTCCAGTGCGCTGTAGTCTAACAAGACCTCCCAGGAACCGGAACAGACTCAGTAAGAGAATTTGTACAATGTGAGGGCTGAGGACAAAGTCTAGGTTCTGGCAATGGGAGAATCCTGTCCGTGGCTGAGCCATCTCCTCCACGCTGCCTCGGGGGTTACATCCCCTGCCTATGCGCTTGCTTTGGGACTCCGGGGGTAAAAAGAAGCCAGCAAGGGGGCTAGCTGCCAAATGAAGCTAAATGGGAGAATGGGGCGAAATAAGTCCAGACAAGTCCTTTTGCCTCTCAGGGTCCCCTCTGTATGATGGGAAGAAAGGGGGAAAGGGAACAGAACAGGTCTTGCCTGCGTGGAGGCCATGACAGCGCCTCCCGCCAAAAACTACTGCTGCTCTTCCACACATGAGTGCGGTTTCTTGGGAAACAGGGCTGGAGCCTAGTTCACCTTCTCAAAGGCAACCTCAGCTCTAATGATAACAAAATACAGAGCCAGAGGACCTTAAAAGTCCCGCATGTGCTTTAAAATCCTTTCATTCTAAGGGGAAGAGAAGAAAAATCACTAGAAATGAATACAGTTGCAAGCAATTCAGGGCTGGCAAGGGAGTTTTGCCCAAACCCACCGGGAAGTGAAAGGGGAAACTAAGATTCTGCCTGGGTGATTACAGGGAGGGGGGGTGGGAGTACTTTCGCTGAAGATTCCCCACACCTAAGAGTATTTCATATCTCCTACTCTCAACAAAACACAAAAATCCCAATGCCATTCACTGTTACAAATACACTGATTCTCCCTGGAGTTGATGAGAGTTCAGTGGTAATATCCAAGGGGCAGAAATTTGAT